GGGGCAGCCGATGGGCTCCGCGAGGCCGCGCGCTGAGATTTGGGGAAGTGGGGCTGCCCGGGCGGGGGCGTCCCGCGCGGAGTCGGCCAAAGGTGTTTCCTTTCACTTCCTTCGGCAGCTGCTCGAGATGAGGAGGAGAGCGGGGCTGGGGCGGAGCGGCCTGGCCCCCCGCGTCTGAGGCCCACCCCCGGGACTTCCCGGACGCCCGGGCTCGGCGATGTGTGCCCGGTGACCAGGCGGCGCGGGGAGCCCGGACCTGAGCCTTCGGGAGGGAATGCTGGCTTGGTTTTGAGTGACTTTGGGGAGCGTGAAGAGACCCCAACATGGAGGACTTTTCTGCCAGGACCTACGGCACCAGTGGTCTGGACAACAGACCTCTGTTCGGGGAGACGTCGGCCAAGGTGAGCGCCGACCGGGACTCCGGGCCTTGGGGGGTGGGGGTGGGGGGTGTCTGTGTGTCTGCCTGCCTGCCTGCCTGCCTGCCCTCCCGCCCACAGTCCTGGCGGGTAACTTGCGCTGCCCCTGAAGGTACTTGTAGGAAGAAAGAGCTGGTTCTTCCACCCCGCTTCCCGCTCAAGATGTTTGCCGACCACTCGGCGGCTCCTTTGGGACGGGGCTGGCCCGGAGCCTTGAGGGCCGGCAGGGGGAGGAAAGTTCAGAAAGTTCTGGGCTGTTGGGCGCCCTTCGGCGGAGGGCGGACGCCCCTCACCCGGGCCGGGGGCGGGTGTTTGCCGCCCGCTCGAGGGCTCGCCTTCGAGAGGCTTCTGAGGCTTCCGTCGGAACGAGCCGCGAGGTGCTTCTGATTACTGTTGATGGAGACACGAGAGGCTGGAGCCATTAACGGTTTACTGCCGGGGCAGCCAAGCAAAGAAAAGCAGAGGCGAGAAGTGAGAGTTTCTTGTTGGCGGCCGTTCCAGGAAATGAGCAAGGGTCTAGACCCAAACAAGCTACGGTACGTTATTTTAGGCTTTTAAAAAGTATGTTTTCTTAAAAGCCTAGTCATGTGATGTCCTGGGCCAGTAATTGAAGAGAGCCCCTTTTCCTGCCAGCAGCGTTATTCTTCTGAGCCATTTGGGCAAGATTAGCCTGTTTTTGTTGTTTTTTCACCCAGAAAGTGGCATGGGTGGTCTTTGACCCCTGACAAATTGTTTTTAGTCTCTCCAAAAGTAGGGCGCATGTAAGTCCAGAGCTGCTCGGCTTTCCCAGCTTTGGCAGGGACCTGTAGAAAGGATAGGGAACTTGTACACCCCACAGTCTGGGGCAGAACCCTGAACTTGGAAGCTACCGGCCTGCTACAAGACTACTACTTTATTTTTTTAAAAACTTCATGTGGATTTTGCTTTCTCTTAAAGTGTCTTAATAAGAAAATGTTTTAAGCTTGAACTCTAGGAAGATGAATCCTGTTTACCTTGTGGCTTTGCATTATCCCAGCCTACAGTGCACCAGGTTTGAGAAGTATGGCCCTAGTCCAGTAGATGTTTCTATTTCTGCTCACATTATTGAACATTATGTGATAGACCCTGGGGGTCCAAGGAACCCAGCTAGGTGGAGGAAATATGTAAACAAATGTGGTACCGTTCAATCTGTGCTATGAAGGGGCATTGGCTGGGCATGTTGGAGTCAGGAGAAACTGGTCACTTTTATTTGGGAAGCTTGGGGAAGACCCTAGGATAGCTTCTCCATTCAGTCTCTGGTTGTCTTAGGCGTTTGGATATGAATGCCTCTAAACTGGGGTTTGACTAGAAGAGGGTTGGGGCCTGGAGAGTGGAGGCAGCTTGTTGCTTGAAGGGATCCGACCCAGGGCATCTGGCTGCCCAGCTGTTTTGAGAACTAGGAGGTTCAATTGGCACACAGATTGGGGTTTTGAGGGGTGCAGATACTGACCTCACTTAGCTCCATAGCCCCTGAGTACTGAGGTAGAGGACCTTGTAATGGACTTGATTTATATAGACACTTAGAAATATTGATGTTTTCTGACTTGCTTGGGCCTAGATAGTCAATGACTCTAAGTTTCCTATTGCCTTTGATCCATTTGAAACCCATCCAGAAACTTTGCTATTCCAAATATGTCTCTGTTTATTGCATACTTTTTTAGTCCAAGAGTATATAGCCCTGACACTACTTAGGCAGCTTTAGGCATTTTAACAGTAGATTCAGCTACTCAGAGCTCCCTTGATCTCCCTCTGTAGGGCTGACAGAATGATTGGATATAAGAGAAATTGTACAGAACAGAGAAAGGAGAGAGACCTCTAGTCTGAGGGTGGAGAAGACATCATGTTTCTTATAAGCTGAGGTGACAGACCTGAAGAAGGATAGGAATCCATCTTTAAAGACAGCAAATGATTTTATTTGAGGACCTGAAGTGAGTGAGGCACAGGAATGGGGCCTCAATAATGAAAGGACAGGACACATTACAGTGGCCATTCCCATGGAGGACATTCAGTGCTAGAACAGGGTGAATTCCTGGGGACCCTGAGAATCCCTTCACTGGCATTTGCGTTCAGATGTTCCCAGCTTGCTCTCTCTTAGATGCCAGGAAACCAAGACACGACAACCACTTTACAGTGGACACCTTATATTAGTGAACTATTACTGAGGAGAAAAATCCAGAAAGGGGAAAATCCACTTCTTGTCATAATGTGACCAATCTTCTGAGCTCTTATATTTACCTTATAACAACTGACCATAAGTATAGCTTCTCAATTATTTAAAAATTTATTTTCAATTACAGTTTACAGTCGATATTATTGTGTATTAGTTCCAGATGTACCGCAAAAGTGGTTAAAAAATAACATACTTTTCAGAGTTGGTCCCCTGCTGCTTCAGGTACCCACCTGGTCCCCCACCTGTTTTTCTTGATATTATTGACTGTATAATCCCTATGTTGTAGTCTACATCTCTGTGGCTATTCTGCAACTACCAGTTTGTACTGTTTAATTCCTCAATTTTATACTTTTTAAAAAATTTCTCTTTATTGTTGAAAGTATTACAGATGTCCCCCTTTTTCCCCCCATTGATCCCCTCTACCCTGCANCTTGACATTAATTAGGCATCCAAATAAACTACCATTTCATTCTCCCACCAGCCCCACCCCCAGGAATTCACAGCATGGTTAGGGGCCTTATCCAGCAGGACCCAAGTAGTAAGTGTTGAGGGCCTCAGAGTTGAGTAATGAGATATTTCTTTAAAGAAATATTTACTGTTGAAAGTATTTCAGATGTCCCCTTTTCCGCCCTATTGATCCCCTCCAGCTGGCATCTACATACCCCCAGACCTTCTCCACACTGTTGTCTGGGTTTATACTTTAAAAAAAAGATTTTATTGATTTTAGAAAGAGGGAGGGATAAAGAGAGAGAAACATTGTGAGAGAGAAACATCTTTGGGGTGCTTCCTACACGCACCCTACGGGGGACCCAGCCTGCAACCCTCGCATGTGGCCTGACCAGGAATCCACGTGGTGACCTCTTGGTTCATGGGCTGACACTCAACTGCGTGAGCCACACTGGCTGACTGATTCCTCAGTTTTAAATCTAGAAAGGACTAGACCTTTAGGTCCAGTCCCTAACTTTAAGGCAAAGATGATTGAAGCCCACAGAGTCAAGTCTGGAGGGAAACTGTTTGCCTAGTGCCAGCAACATGGTACACATTCAGCTTTCATTTGATCTCTATTTCCTTTGTAAAACGGGCACTGTTATTCCTTTTAGAACTAAGGAAGCTGAACCACAAAGCAGGTGGTTTGTTCAGCCCCATACCAAGTTTTCTAGTAAGGCTTACTAACTCCCTTTCATGAGTTGACTAGGATAGTAAATTATGTAACTTTTGCTACATACCTCTGAAAGCACTGTAGACATACACATACCTATTGCCCTTTCACAGAAAGTAGGTGAAGTGGTAACCCAAAGTCATGGAGTGAGTGAAAGAGAGTAGAATCTACTATAAAATTATAAATATATGACCCAGTGGGCCTTGAGCAGCACCCTCCTGGCCAGTCCCTGCGGGAACTTCTGTCTTCCTCTGTACTCACTGTGCAGAATGATTCCAGTCACTGAACTCTAACCTGATTCACTCTTTAGCATGATATTTAGGAATAACTTTACAGATAGAGCCATGGAATCAGTGGCAAAAGGAGACAGTTCTTGCCCGACCGGGCGTGGCTCAGCGGTTGAGTGTCAACCTGGGATCCAGGTGATCGGGGTTCGATCCCCAGTCAGGGCACATGCCCAGGTTGCGGGCTCGATCAGTGACTCTCTCATCATTGATGTTTCTCCCTCTCTCTCTCTCCCCCTCTTTTCCTCTCTCTGAAATCAATAAAGATATATTTAAAAAAAAAAAAAAAAAAGACAGTTCTCTATCATTACATAAATATCTAAGGCATAATAGGCAAAAAAGGAAAGATGTTCAGTTTTTCTAAGAAATATCTCCCTCATTCCTGGATACCTTTAGGATTACATGCTAGATGGACTATCTTATATATCCTGGTCAGAATGTCCAGATGCTTTTTTCATCTGTTTTTATCCCAAGTTCTGGGATATACTGCCTCTCTTTCAGTAGACAAAGAAATGTGGCACAAATGCCACGATAATACAGGATACCTGAGGTTTTTAAGCCTGTGCTGTAGCCTAGCATTTTCTAAAGAAGCACTATCCAGTAGAAATATGTGAGCCACATACCTGATTTTAAATGTCCTAGTAGCCATATTAAAATGTATAAACAGACAAAATTAATTTTGACTCCATACATCCAAAATATCATCATTTTAATATATAATCAAGATACAGTCTTTTCATTATATAAATCTAAAAAGTGGAGATATTTTTACAGTTTTTTCATCATAAACCTTTGAACTCCACTGTGTATTTTTCACTTACAGCCTGTCTCAGTTTAGACTGGCCACATTTCAGGTGCTCAGTAACCACATGTAGCTAGAGTATATTACATTGGTCGGTGCAGTTGTAAAGCAAGTGAATTATTAGTTACGGTGGTTCCATAGTCATGTTCTTTTTCTTTACTGTGGGACTTCTCAGAGCCTTTAACATGCTACTTTTCATTGGGACTCTAATTGGAGAGGGTAGGAAAATAGTGCTTTTTGTACTGTTTTGTTGGCAAAGTTTTTTAGCACTGGCACGATACCCAGCCCAGTTCTTACCTCCCCCCCCTCCCCCAGGAGCATTCATGAGACAAGTTTCTACAGAACATTCTTTGGGAAATGTTACTCAAGGAATCTCCATCCCCTGCTCCTCTCTCCCCTCCCCTAGTGTGAACTAAAACTTGGAGATAGTTCCCCATCTTGACCAGGGCTACCTTTACAAGTTGGCTTTAGGATAACACACAAAGATGGAGTCATCTTTCTGTCTATGTAATGGATGGATATTAAGTTATCCTGGGGGCTTGTGAGGCTGGC